GTATAAAAATTTCCGAATTGAGGTTCCAAATTTCAAATGGCTTAATTTGATTAAGTGGTGAAAATATGCAGGCAAAAATTGACATTTGTGTAATGTGCTAGATACTGAAATGGTCAGCTTTTTTATTTAATTTATCAAAGGTAAGGCTTCAAGTGCAATTAATTACCTCTACCAAAAAATCCAGAGAGAAAAGAAAGAAAGAAATAGTTGCACCCCGTTTATACGTTTCTCGGTTGTAAATATTTTCTTTTACATTTCAATAAGACCTTTCATGTATACATTTTTCAATTTTCTAAAACACTTCTTAGTCATGCGTTATTTACTTTGAAATGGAAAAGTTGGAAGCAATTATTAAAAATCCAGCATCGAGTTGCTTAACTTTCCTAGCAACATTATTTAAACTGCATGTGGCTCCATCTGTTTAAAAAAATATTCTAAGTGCTAACGAGCAAATATTTATTGATATTTTCACAATGTCTGGCTGCAATTTTTAATCATAATTTTAATTTATTTAATTTAAAGTATATGCTCTCCACCTCAAAATTAGTACAGTAGAGCATCGATTATCCGACTCAATTGGGGACTCGGGTTGGTCGGATAATTGAAAAGTCGGATAACCGAAAAATATGAAAAAAATCCATTATTAGTGTAGTATATTATTATATCCCGTGTAATTAGTATATTGGTATATCGCTATTAACCTACTTCGCGTTGAATTTTCCTCCATGTTAAGCCTATCAAATTTTTTTAAAATAATAATCGTCGCAATTGTTTCGTTAAAAATTAGAAAATTAAGCCTCGTATAAATACTGGCTCCCTTTCGTGGTCGATCCATGTTGCCAGCTAAAACACGTAAAAATAATATTAAAGTAGCCAAGACATAGCCAAATATTGTAGCACCACGTCACTAGCGGACATTTGAATTTTCCGACTAGAACGCGGTCGGTTAACCGAGGTGGCGGATAATCGATGCTCTACTGTAGTCTTTTCCCTGTACTGTATATCATACTTTTTCTGTTAGCAATAGAGTCTTAACGGTTATCTAACTCATTTCAGGGGGAAATATTTGAATTCAAACAACTTGATTTCCGGTTTGCATCGGAAGTTCGTATATAGTAAATCGGGGCATCCTTTTCATATCCGGTCTCGAGTTTAGGGAAAGACGGACAGACCACAGTGGGAATTTATAAGTTACAATTTTTTCAAATTGCAGCGCAACAATCCCGCTAAAAAATAAATTTTCCTGAAAAATGTCAGGAACTTTCGAAAGAAAAGCACAGGAATTATTAATATTCAAATTGGTGAACAAAATCGTGTTGCTCCCCCCACATCCATACATACAGAGAACACCCCTGTAATACTTTTTAGCTTTTTTTGACGTTTTAAGATCCTCTGAGTTCAAAAAATGAATCTTAGGTGGTCATTTTTTTTACCAATCGCCATATTTTCCAAAATTTCACAATAAATAATAATAATAATATCTTATAAAAAATTTGAAACACTACATTTCACATTTTCGCCGCACCTACGATTCGAACTGATTGAAATGAGCAGAGGGAAATGAACTACTAATTTTACCCGGCTATGCCATGCGCAACCTGTACACTTCCAATGTTCAATAGAGCTAGGTTACGTTACCACTACCCAAGTCTCCCTAGTCGCTAACTGTATCTGATTTCGAATTGGCATGCACTGCACATTCTTCGCATTGCAAAATGACGTATGCATGCATCAGGAACTTCTGTTCGAACAAACCTCGCCTGCCGTCCGGGTTAGCGATTTTAAAAAGGTGGCAACACTAGCACAGAATTTTTCATTACTTATTCTGTGACGAAACTGAATTTTAGTCTTTTAAATTGAGATACCTAAATTAGGGGACGGCGAAATTTTCCTTTGCCCCGGGCGGCTGACACCCATGCTACGCCACTGGGTCAGGTGGCAGCTTATCACTCTGGGGATCCGGGATCGATTTCGGACGGGTCCAGGAATTTTTCGGGAGGTGGTTCGATTGGATATGTTGGCCTCCGTCTCTTACTATTGTGGGCCTTGCCGAATCCATAATCAGCTTGCTAAAAGAGGCCTTCTTAGTGCTCATGGGGCAGAAAGAGTAAACAAATAATCTATTTACATCAGGGGTAGCCAAACTTTTTTCATCGTCGACCCCCTGCAACTTTTCGAAACCTCACATCGACCCCACCAAAAAGTTTGTGTTACAAGGAAAAACAAAAAGCGCTTACTATTTTAATATATATCTTTTAATTTTACATTTTTTTTACATTTATTGTACTGTACAGTACATATGTTAATATCAATAATAATTTTTGTAACTGACAATCAATAAGATGGATAAGCTTGATAATCCTTAGCAAGATTAGCAATATTCGGTTCAAAATTTCTAAGTTTTAGTCTTTTCATCGACCCCTATGGGTCGATATAGACCACTTTGGCGACCCCTGATTTACATATATAACATATCTTGTTGGTTTGTTCTTTATATAAATCTTTCTTCTTAAACATATCTAGACCAAAGTTTGTATGAGTATTACTTAGATCATGCATGAATCGATACTATGCTCTATATCACTACAATGTATCAAGGTATTTATCCTTTACATGTAGTGCCCTCTCTTGACAAAAATAAAAAATAAATGTTAATTGTTATTGAATTGTTCACAATAGATTGTTGGCTTACCTGCCGACACCTGCCGAATAGATTAATGACTACCCAAAGGCACCGTCACTGTGGAATCACGTTAAAAATTTATCAGTTTAGATCAGGGTCCATCTATTGGGAGACAGATCATCAGAGGAGTTTTCTAAACAACTTTGGCGTTTTGGTGATGGCAAATTCACGGAATATCCCGATACTAATTTGATAACACTAGATAAATCACGAATGGATATACGAGGGGGCAATATCGGCATGTAAAAACCGAATTCGTTGCCGAATGTACCTGGTGGAGTTTTTAAACTTTTAGGACTACTATCTCATAACCTACAGTACTAATTATGGGTGGCCGGATGGCCGAGCGGTCAAGGTGGCAGCCTACCGCTTCGACTGAAATAATTAAATCCTAAATATGCGGCCGGATGGCCGAGCGGTCAAGGTGGCAGCCTACCGCTCTGGGGGACCAGAGTTCGAATCCGAACAGGTCGAAAAATCCCCAGGATTTTTCGGGGGTGGTTTGTTCGGATATGTCGGGCCCTCACCACCCGGCATCCCCATTGTGGGCCTGGCCGAACTCATAATGGGTTCGCAAAAAGATGCCCTCTTAGTGCCCACGGAACGAAAAGAGTAGAAAAAAAGTACCAATTATGGTACTCTAGGACAGAAAGGGTTGATTGTGTACATCAGCATGACACGAGTGATCTGCCAAGAGGGATCCGTCTTCCAGGAAGATATGTTATGGGAAACCGACTTCTATTTAGATATTGCTGACATGAAGAAAACGCAGAATACTCTACGTGACCAACACGTTAGCGAAACGAAATGTCACGACCAACTGACAGTGTTCTCTGATTTTATCCACTTGGCAACTGGTGAGCAGGACACAAAGGACTTTAAATGAATATACATATTAATTGAAGTACTGATTAAACTAAACGAACTGTAATCAAAACTCCAATTATTGTTACTGTTATATTCAAATAAACCGTTACAGTTAAGCTTTGTTTTCGTGCAATCGCTTATATTTGTGACATAATGAGCAATCCTTATGTTAATTATGTCACAAATGTTTACTAATAATATACGAATACTCTATATTATTTTAAAACTAAACCATTTTATATCGCATTATATAACTTATATAACATGTGTTTCATTAATCTGTAATTCGTATAACAGATTTTAGCTGATTTCGATTGCATTAGTAGATTAAAATTATATTTACTTTAATCAGATGGATGGAAATATTACATTTCTGTGTCGTAAACGGTAAATTGTCTGCATTATTGCTGTAGAATTTAATGCATTCGATACTTTGAGGAATTAATATTCGATTGTGTAACAAAGAAAATGTTGGAAAAATCAATAATAAATACTCTAAACACTAAACATAAATCTAGCATTGTTCAGGTTGATATGCTAGGTTGTCTATTTTGATAAGTATTGTAAATACAGAACGGAATAATTATCAAACGAATCAATAGTAGGAAACTTTACATAATAGAAAGTATTTTAAACAGGACAGATAGCTTAAAGTCTTCTCGATTAAATCACACAATCAAATATATGCGTAGAATCATTGCAACAAACCTCTGCGTTAACTAAAACATCGAAGAACAATGAACAATAACGACAAAGATATTGATAATTGCCCAACGAGTTTATTTAGTCCACTATTTTCTGCTTTAAAAGCGTTTGCCATTGATTTACTTTCTCCTTGCGAATGCATCAACGACCATGAACAATATTCTTCGTCGAAATATTTTAAACTATACACGAACACAGTAGAAGTATTTCTTTGGCTGAAACCATGCGAATTTCTTATACAGATTTTCAAACCCGATTTGTTCTGCGTACGATTGATGAAGGCTTATAAAGAGCACTCGCTTCATGCTTCCATCATCCTTCTGTGTGTTTCTATTTACGTCGCTCTGCAGTTCAGCATCATCAAGAGAAACAAATTCAAAATTCATTACAACAGATATTGTTACGAGGTAGATCGGAAAATTGCCAATGTCATGGAAAAGTACCTCGTCGCATGCTTAGCGGGTGTCCTCTTAATCTTCGTGTTGATCTCTTTTGTTCCGTCGCTGGTATTTTATCCTGAGATAAAGAGTCAAAAGGGAAGCGATTTCGAAGCTGTGACCTGTTCATTAAATGAAACAATGTGGCTTCTGTATTTAGCCGCACACATTGCATGTGTTGTAGTCTGTTTTGGGCTGATCATGTTTGTCTTCTTAAAGCGAGCTGAAAATTTATCCAAAGAATTAAAGAAGACAAAAATTGGACTGCGCGACTTAAAAATTCGATTGCAAATCACTATGGAAAAGCATGCAGAATTACGCGAAGGATACGAAAACATTAACGAATCATTTTATTGGCTAATTCCTCTGATATACATGCATTTTCTGTATCTCACGTGCTCTCTGACATATGCGGCTACATTTGTTCACATGGATCCAAAACTTCGAGCCATAATAGGAGCATTTGCTGTGTTTCTTGATTGTGGAATCATTTATGTATGCTGGATGGTAACTTCTTGTGTTATGTCGGTGAGTGTTAAAAGGCTGTTTTCATAAAATTATTTAGATTCGTGAATAATTTAATTTCACTCGAATTTTTAATTCTCCATTAAATTATATTAATTTCATAACATTAATATCAACGGAAAAGTTGTCGTAAATATAATCTTTCTAAAATAAGTAACGTGTGTTACTTATGTCTTAATTTAGTCTAAAAAATAAAAAACAAAAGCAATTTTAATATTTCAGCTGTACGACGATTTCAGTTCAATTGTAAAAATGTATCCTGCAAACATTGGAGTTGAAATGAAGTTTAAGGTAGGAATATGTAAAATTTGATGAACATTTTATGGTAAGAGGGATTATTGACTCTAATAATTAATATATTTAAATAGATAATTGGATTTATGAAAAGATTTAAAGGCGAACCCATTGGCATATCTTTTGCAGAATGCTTCTATGTAAAGAGAAATTTTCCGATGAGAGTAAGTATGAAGTATCTAAATTATCATCTAACACATTAAAAATTCTATATATTAGATTAACGTAATTATATTTTTCAAGACAAATTATGTATTGTAAATTTAATTATGTTTTCTTTCAATCGCTTCAGGTTCTGAGTGCACTACATTCCATTTTATCAACAATGATTGAATTAAGTGGAGTCATGGAGAAGAAAAAAAATTGTTCTCAGAATCCTCCGGTGTTTAATAATAGCACTAATCTTTATGTATAAATGAGGATGTTTGTTCGTTATACATGCCTAGGCCGTTTGACCAATCGCTACGAAAGTTGGTAGTTACGTTTAGTTACTTATAGTTTAGATCGTCTCATAAATATCACCCCAAACTTTCGATTGTATTTCTGTAAATCACTTAATTTTTAATTATAATCGATTTTCTGAGTTGCACGTATTGCCATCTATTGGCAATACGTGCAACTCAGAAAATCGATTATAATTAAAAATTAAGTGATTTACAGAAATACAATCGAAAGTTTGGGGTGATATTTATGAGACGATCTAAACTATAAGTAACTAAACGTAACTACCAACTTTCGTAGCGATTGGTCAAACGGCCTAGGCATGTATAACGAACAAACATCCTCATTTATACATAAAGATTAGTGCTATTATTAAACACCGGAGGATTCTGAGAACAATTTTTTTTCTTCTCCATGACTCCACTTAATTCAATCATTGTTGATAAAATGGAATGTAGTGCACTCAGAACCTGAAGCGATTGAAAGAAAACATAATTAAATTTACAATACATAATTTGTCTTGAAAAATATAATTACGTTAATCTAATATATAGAATTTTTAATGTGTTAGATGATAATTTAGATACTTCATACTTACTCTCATCGGAAAATTTCTCTTTACATAGAAGCACTCTGCAAAAGATATGCCAATGGGTTCGCCTTTAAACCTTTTCATAAATCCAATTATCTATTTAAATATATTAATTATTAGAGTCAATAATCCCTCTTACCATAAAATGTTCATCAAATTTTACATATTCCTACCTTAAACTTCATTTCAACTCCAATGTTTGCAGGATACATTTTTACAATTGAACTGAAATCGTCGTACAGCTGAAATATTAAAATTGCTTTTGTTTTTTATTTTTTAGACTAAATTAAGACATAAGTAACACACGTTACTTATTTTAGAAAGATTATATTTACGACAACTTTTCCGTTGATATTAATGTTATGAAATTAATATAATTTAATGGAGAATTAAAAATTCGAGTGAAATTAAATTATTCACGAATCTAAATAATTTTATGAAAACAGCCTTTTAACACTCACCGACATAACACAAGAAGTTACCATCCAGCATACATAAATGATTCCACAATCAAGAAACACAGCAAATGCTCCTATTATGGCTCGAAGTTTTGGATCCATGTGAACAAATGTAGCCGCATATGTCAGAGAGCACGTGAGATACAGAAAATGCATGTATATCAGAGGAATTAGCCAATAAAATGATTCGTTAATGTTTTCGTATCCTTCGCGTAATTCTGCATGCTTTTCCATAGTGATTTGCAATCGAATTTTTAAGTCGCGCAGTCCAATTTTTGTCTTCTTTAATTCTTTGGATAAATTTTCAGCTCGCTTTAAGAAGACAAACATGATCAGCCCAAAACAGACTACAACACATGCAATGTGTGCGGCTAAATACAGAAGCCACATTGTTTCATTTAATGAACAGGTCACAGCTTCGAAATCGCTTCCCTTTTGACTCTTTATCTCAGGATAAAATACCAGCGACGGAACAAAAGAGATCAACACGAAGATTAAGAGGACACCCGCTAAGCATGCGACGAGGTACTTTTCCATGACATTGGCAATTTTCCGATCTACCTCGTAACAATATCTGTTGTAATGAATTTTGAATTTGTTTCTCTTGATGATGCTGAACTGCAGAGCGACGTAAATAGAAACACACAGAAGGATGATGGAAGCATGAAGCGAGTGCTCTTTATAAGCCTTCATCAATCGTACGCAGAACAAATCGGGTTTGAAAATCTGTATAAGAAATTCGCATGGTTTCAGCCAAAGAAATACTTCTACTGTGTTCGTGTATAGTTTAAAATATTTCGACGAAGAATATTGTTCATGGTCGTTGATGCATTCGCAAGGAGAAAGTAAATCAATGGCAAACGCTTTTAAAGCAGAAAATAGTGGACTAAATAAACTCGTTGGGCAATTATCAATATCTTTGTCGTTATTGTTCATTGTTCTTCGATGTTTTAGTTAACGCAGAGGTTTGTTGCAATGATTCTACGCATATATTTGATTGTGTGATTTAATCGAGAAGACTTTAAGCTATCTGTCCTGTTTAAAATACTTTCTATTATGTAAAGTTTCCTACTATTGATTCGTTTGATAATTATTCCGTTCTGTATTTACAATACTTATCAAAATAGACAACCTAGCATATCAACCTGAACAATGCTAGATTTATGTTTAGTGTTTAGAGTATTTATTATTGATTTTTCCAACATTTTCTTTGTTACACAATCGAATATTAATTCCTCAAAGTATCGAATGCATTAAATTCTACAGCAATAATGCAGACAATTTACCGTTTACGACACAGAAATGTAATATTTCCATCCATCTGATTAAAGTAAATATAATTTTAATCTACTAATGCAATCGAAATCAGCTAAAATCTGTTATACGAATTACAGATTAATGAAACACATGTTATATAAGTTATATAATGCGATATAAAATGGTTTAGTTTTAAAATAATATAGAGTATTCGTATATTATTAGTAAACATTTGTGACATAATTAACATAAGGATTGCTCATTATGTCACAAATATAAGCGATTGCACGAAAACAAAGCTTAACTGTAACGGTTTATTTGAATATAACAGTAACAATAATTGGAGTTTTGATTACAGTTCGTTTAGTTTAATCAGTACTTCAATTAATATGTATATTCATTTAAAGTCCTTTGTGTCCTGCTCACCAGTTGCCAAGTGGATAAAATCAGAGAACACTGTCAGTTGGTCGTGACATTTCGTTTCGCTAACGTGTTGGTCACGTAGAGTATTCTGCGTTTTCTTCATGTCAGCAATATCTAAATAGAAGTCGGTTTCCCATAACATATCTTCCTTGAAGACGGATCCCTCTTGGCAGATCACTCGTGTCATGCTGATGTACACAATCAACCCTTTCTGTCCTAGAGTACCATAATTGGTACTTTTTTTCTACTCTTTTCGTTCCGTGGGCACTAAGAGGGCATCTTTTTGCGAACCCATTATGAGTTCGGCCAGGCCCACAATGGGGATGCCGGGTGGTGAGGGCCCGACATATCCGAACAAACCACCCCCGAAAAATCCTGGGGATTTTTCGACCTGTTCGGATTCGAACTCTGGTCCCCCAGAGCGGTAGGCTGCCACCTTGACCGCTCGGCCATCCGGCCACCCATAATTAGTACTGTAGGTTATGAGATAGTAGTCCTAAAAGTTTAAAAACTCCACCAGGTACATTCGGCAACGAATTCGGTTTTTACATGCCGATATTGCCCCCTCGTATATCCATTCGTGATTTATCTAGTGTTATCAAATTAGTATCGGGATATTCCGTGAATTTGCCATCACCAAAACGCCAAAGTTGTTTAGAAAACTCCTCTGATGATCTGTCTCCCAATAGATGGACCCTGATCTAAACTGATAAATTTTTAACGTGATTCCACAGTGACGGTGCCTTTGGGTAGTCATTAATCTATTCGGCAGGTGTCGGCAGGTAAGCCAACAATCTATTGTGAACAATTCAATAACAATTAACATTTATTTTTTATTTTTGTCAAGAGAGGGCACTACATGTAAAGGATAAATACCTTGATACATTGTAGTGATATAGAGCATAGTATCGATTCATGCATGATCTAAGTAATACTCATACAAACTTTGGTCTAGATATGTTTAAGAAGAAAGATTTATATAAAGAACAAACCAACAAGATATGTTATATATGTAAATCAGGGGTCGCCAAAGTGGTCTATATCGACCCATAGGGGTCGATGAAAAGACTAAAACTTAGAAATTTTGAACCGAATATTGCTAATCTTGCTAAGGATTATCAAGCTTATCCATCTTATTGATTGTCAGTTACAAAAATTATTATTGATATTAACATATGTACTGTACAGTACAATAAATGTAAAAAAAATGTAAAATTAAAAGATATATATTAAAATAGTAAG